AATCATAATTTATATTAAAAATAACCCAATACCACTGAAATTTTAAACAAAATTGGTCTATAACATTTATACTTTTAATATAACAGTGAGAAATGGGTTTAAATGATTTATGGAACAGTGATTACATTCATTGCTTGAAAAAAAAAAATTACCATAAATTACAATTTGCACACATTTGTAAATGTTTTACATTCCTTATAAATACCGTACAGAAATAATGTTTATAGAACTATGAAGAAGACTACATAAATTATAATGATTTTAAACAGTTCTCACCTGTGTGAAACCCGGCGACCTACACCGTTGGTCTGCCAATCCGGGGCTTCCAAATTCTCCGGCCGCGCAGTTCGTACTACGATGTGCTGCATGTCGCGCCATGTAATGTCCCGATTTACCTTTTTACATTGAGAGAGGTGCGTGATAAAACTAGGGTTTAGCAATGAGAAAATTACGAGTTTTTAAGGTATACGTAAATATTCACGAAACTGACCAACCTTAAAATGACCTGCATCTTTAATTGACAAATTGTATTTCTTCGAGTCATGCCATTTAAGGGAACTGAGTGGTGAAATGATGAAGACATCTTGATTCCAAAAGCTTTGTGCTCAATAACCTACATAGGATTAATAATTCAACATAGAATCTTAATTCAAGTTAGGCATACACAACCTTTATCATGTACAGTGGACCCTCGACTAACGCTATTAATCCGTTCCTGAGAGCTCATCGTTAGTCAAAATTATCATTAGTCAAGTTAATTTTCCCCATAAGAAATAATGGAAATCAAATTAATCCGTGTAGGACACCCCAAAGTATGAAAAAAAAATTGTTTTTACCACATGAAATATTAATTTTAATACACACAAACTGAAGAAGACATGCACAGTTACATGACACTTACCTTTATTGAAGATCTGGTGATGATTGATGGGATGGGAGGAGGGGAGAGTGTTGATGGTCTTAGTGTTTAGAAGGGGAATCCCCTTCCATTAGGACTTGAGGTGGCAAGTACTTTTCCGGGGTTACTTCCCTTCCCTTTAAATCTTTCAAACCAGCCTTTGCTGGCCTTAAATTCACTCACATCACCACTAGTTGCTGGCATTTTTTTAATTAAATTGTCATGCAACTTCCTAGCCTTTTCACATATGATCGCTTGAGAGATGCTATCTCCTGTTATCTGTTTTTCGTTTATCCACACCAATAACAGTCTCTCAACATCTTCGAGTACTTGCGATCTCAGTTTCGAAAACATAGTTGTACCTTTGGCAAGAACAGCTTCCTTGATTGCCGTTTTCTTGCCCACAATAGTAGCGATGGTTGATTGGGGTTTTGTGTACAACCTGGCCAGCTCGGAGACACGCACTCCACTTTCATACTTAGCAATGATCTCTTTCTTCATATGCATAGTAATTCTCACCCTTTTTGCTGCAGGGTTCGCACTAGAAGCTTTCTTGGGGCCCATGCTGACTTATTTTGCAGGTGCAATCACTAAAAAGGCTGTGATAATATGAAATGTGCCTGGCTGGCTTGTAAACACTGGCCAGAAGTGGACGCGTCTCAGATGGAACGAATAGTGTTGGTCGAGTTTTTTAGCGCTAGTCGAGGCAAAATTTTTGCGTTAAAATGTATCGCTAGTCGGATTTATCGTTAATCGATGCCATCGTTGGTCGAGGGTCCACTGTACTTGAAGAAATAAATAATTATATACTATTATTATTAATTATTATTACAAGGAACTGGAGCTACCTTCCCTTCTTTGGGTCAAACATAGTTACCTCCTATTTGCCCAGGTGCTGTACAACCCTTTCAAGTTTAGCACGTCCTCATTAATATGGAAATTATGCTGTTTACCATTACTATACATTACATCACTTATATTAATACAAGAAAAATGAATCTTAAGTTTATAATGTTATATTAGCTAATGATGACAAATTTCAAGTATGGAAACATCAACACATATGCAGTTTAATGTGATCCTTTACTGACAACATTTCGCCCGCACAGTGGGCTTTTTCAAGTCACAAACAGATCTACCTGGGGTGGACTTGAAAAAGCCCACTGTGTGGGAGAAACGTTGTCAATAAAGGATCACAATAAACTGCATATGTGTTTATGTTTCCATTGTGTCGATATTTTATACCATTTATTTTCATCGAAGTTTAAGTATGTAGAAATACTGCCCATGCAATCTAACTTTTTTGGGGTGACTAAAAAGAAGGCATTTGCCGTCATTTCTTCAACAGCTGTATACTGTCTCCCACCAAGGTAGGGTGAACCCAAAAAGGAAGAAATGAGTTTATCATCACTAATTCAGTCGCTGTCTTGCCAGAAGCATGCCGACATCACAGTTTAGACGATCCTTTGAAATACCTCCTGACCCATCCTTCAGAGTGCAGACACTACTTCCTACCCACTTGCAAGACAAGTCTCTATCACTAATTTCCCTGAATCTCTTCATAAGTATTACCCTGCTCACACTCCAACAGCATCCCTGCTCACAAAAACCCACTAATCTCCATGTGAAATGGAGAGAATGCAGTGCACAATGTCATCAATACAAGAATTCAGTGCAGATTTTTTTTCAACAAACCAGCCACAACTACCGAGGCAGTGCAATTTTTTATTTTTAACATGTCAGCCATTTCCCACCGAGGTAGGGTGACCCAAAAAGAAAGGAAAACCCAAAAATTAAGAAAAAACTGTCACCATTCGACACTTTCATCATCACTCATACATAATCACTGTCTTTGCAGAGGGTTCAGATACAACAGCTTAGACATCCCTCCAAACTGCCAATCTCTCAAACCCCTCCTTTAAAGTGCAGGCATTATACTTCCCATTTCCAGGACTCAAGTCAGGCTAACCGGTTTCCCTGAATCCCTTCACAAAATATTACCCTGCTCACACTCCAACAGCACGTCAAGTTTCCAAAAACCACTTGTCTCCATTCACCCCTAATACGTCCATGCGCTCTTGCCCAAAAAGCCTCCTTTACCCTCTCCCTCCAATCTTTTCAAGGACGACCCCTACCCCACCTTCCTTCCCCTACAGATTTATATGCTCTCCAAGTCATTCTACTTTGTTCTATTCTCTCTAAATGACCAAATCACCTCAACAACCCCTCTTCAGTCCTCTAATACTTTTAGTGCAGATCTCCACTAAAATTTACTCTACCTGTTCCATTACTGGAAATGAGGCTCAGGAAATCAAATAGTAAATGTACTGAGAATAATTAAACTCATTTGGTGTGCTTGTACTGGCAACTGAAATATTTCAAAATCATATTAAAAATTCTGCACTGTACACATTGTAATAAAGTTGGTAGAATTACCGACAATATGTAAAGTAAAAGGACACAAGTGCAACTAATGTGACATTTTGTTGTGGCAATGTTTTGCTCTCCAGGAGCTTTATCAAGCCATTACAAACAATACATGGACACAGAGGGTATATAAAGGCTCAGAGTGAGGTGCAATACTAAGAACATAAGAAAGGAGGAACACTGCAGGAGGCCTGTTGGCTCATACCAGGCAGGTCCTTTACAACTCATCCCACCAACAAAACTAGTGAGGTACCATTTCGATGTTCACTTGTGGTAGTAGTAGTGACAAAAGTAATACAATATGGTAGAGCAATTAATTCGTACAAGAGTAAAAGGGTATAAAAGCTATTACCTGGGTAACAAAAATAGGTTGGACAAATATAGACTGGAAAGAGGCAGGTAGTTTCAGTGTTCACTCTCTGTAATGTGCTTTGTGTAGTATAACAGGAGAGACTATGTGATGGCAGGGTTTACTGTTTTCAGGAGGATTCTTGCTAAGACTTCGGAGATGGTGAAGCTGCCGTGTTTTGTTTAATTGTATTCGAAACAGCGATCAGTGCTGATTCGAGGCACTTGCGTCTGCGGAAATTAGTTTCTTTGATCACTAATTGGGCGTCTCTGAATTTCATGAGATGATTGGTGGAATTTCGGTGTTGTACACAGGCGTTGTTCAAGTTATCGTTCCTACATGCATAAATGTGTTACAAGGTTGCAATGAACGTCTCAAAAGTACTTTCACAAGCTAACACCAGAGTCGCCATTGCTTCTAGCACTTCAATAAAGGATCTAACCAGGACAAAATCCAAGCACCACGAACCAGTCAATGCAGGAGTTTACACTATACCCTGTGGAAGCTATGACAAGATTTACGTAGGTGAAACAGCAACAAACCTCGACACCTGCCTCAATGAACACATTTACGCATGTAGGAACGATAACTTGAACAACGCCTGTGTACAACACCGAAATTCCACCAATCATCTCATGAAATTCAGAGACGCCCAATTAGTGATCAAAGAAACTAATTTCCGCAGACGCAAGTGCCTCGAATCAGCACTGATCACCGTTTCGAATACAATTAAACAAAACAACGGCAGCTTCACCATCTCTGAAGTCTTAGCAAGAATCCTCCTGAAAACAGTAAACCCTGCCATCACATAGTCTCTCCTGTTATACTACACAAAGCACATTACAGAGAGTGAACACTGAAACAAGCTGCCTCTTTCCAGTCTATATTTGTCCAACCTATTTTTCTTACCCAGGTAATAGCTTTTATATCCTTTTACTCTTGTACGAATTAATTGCTCTACCATATTGTATTACTTTTGTCACTACTACTACCACAAGTGAACATCGAAATGGTACCTCACTAGTTTTGTTGGTGGGATGAGTTGTAAAGGACCTGCCTGGTATGAGCCAACAGGCCTCCTGCAGTGTTCCTCCTTTCTTATGTTCTTAGTATTGCACCTCACTCTGAGCCTTTATATACCCTCTGTGTCCATGTATTGTTTGTAATGGCTTGATAAAGCTCCTGGAGAGCAAAACATTGCCACAACAAAATGTCACATTAGTTGCACTTGTGTCCTTTTACTTTACTGTACACATTGTTGAGATGTGCAGTTACCTGAAGAGCCAGAGCACAAATTGCTGCAGCCAAAGGTGCCGAGGCTGATGTGCCAGTGTGTGAAGATGTGCAAGAGTGGTGAAGGTCAGTAGTGATGATCTGGCGTTCACCCAGCGATCCTGAGCTGTAGGTAGTTGCCAGTGTGGAGCTGCACGCCTCAGAGTACCATGGAACACGACCCTTTTCTGTCGATTTACTTAAACCTTAGATATGCTATGTGATGTTTATGCTGTGGAGTCACATGAGCAAACACAATTATGTATTTATTAGAAAATGTTTCAGTTCATGGACCTCTGATAACCTCCAATCAAGGTCCAGGGATCTCAACCACCAATCAAGGTCAAGGAACCAAAATCTTCAAAAATAAACCTGTCTTAGCATTGGTCACATATATTTAAACCACTTATTGATATTAATTATAAAGGTTTATACTGTGGAAACCACACCTCACAGTCCCAATTTAATTATTTAAAAAACTTGTATTAGAACTCTCTTATTGGAAACTATTTAAAATACCCAAAATTCAGAATAAACTTAATTCCAAATGATCTCTGATTTTTTATTTTCCAAGGAGCAAAAAATTCTAAAAATCTGAATATATCAAATCTGGATTTTGTTTGTGTCAAAATAATGAGTTGTTAAGTAGCTTTACAATAATATATTATATCTGAAATTTTCAATCATTAGGACACCTCTGTGTACAAATTATTCCAAATGAGAGAGATGTATGCAGAGCAACCAGCTTCTATAAGTTAAAAATTATTAAAAATTACACAACAGTTACAAATATACTTTGCTCACAATTAAAGAGGTTTTAATACAATATTTGACTAATACCTCTAACGTTATTGCATTTTTAACACATCGGTCATTTCCCACCAAGGCAGGGTGACCCGAAAAACAAGAAACACCTTCATTATCACTTGCTCCATCACAGTCTTGCTAGAGGCAGACTCTTACGGATCATACAATGCTGTGTTACCTGTAGCTGAGGAGATGCTGAGTGTCCAGATGGAGTTAGTATAGCCATCACAGTTACAGTTATCTTGGTCTCTGCCACCATTACCCGACGCCCACACAAACACTGAGCCTTTACCTCCACGACCCTGAAAGTTCAAACTAATTACCCAGCATCCACACAAATACCTCCATGACCCTGAAAGTTCAAATTAATTACCCAGGGTCCACATGAATACCTCCACAACCCTGAAAGTTCAAATTAATTACCCAGCATCCACACAAATACCTCCATGACCCTGAAAGTTCAAATTAATTACCCAAGGTCCACACGAATACCTCCACAACCCTGAAAGTTCAAATTAATTACCCAGCATCCACACAAATACCTCCACAACCCTGAAAGTTCAAATTAATTACCCAGCATCCACACAAATACCTCCATGACCCTGAAAGTTCAAATTAATTACCCAGCATCCACACAAATACCTCCACAACCCTGAAAGTTCAAATTAATTACCCAGCATCCACACAAATACCTCCACAACCCTGAAAGTTCAAATTAATTACCCAGGGTCCACACAAATACCTCCACAACCCTGAAAGTTCAAATTAATTACCCAGCATCCACACAAATACCTCCACGACCCTGAACGTTGAAGCCAATTACCCGACACACCCACACAAACACCAAGCCTTTATTGCCATGACCCCTAAAGTGACTCACCAACAAATTAAAGGATCTACAAACAAAACTTCATTTATAATTGTTGTACAAAAATATCTCTGCTCCAAGCCCTGCCCCCTAGAATACTCTCATTAGTATTATTAACTTCAGACTACTTTGGCCTTTTAATACTTTCCTAAAGTGTACTAAGTTTGCCCTTGTCAATCTCAAAGCAAAAAATCTACTCTACAACCATCCTGAGGAAAAAAAAAATTCTTGCTAACATCCCTAAATAAAACATAAAATGGTTGGGGTTTGAACCCATGGTAAGCGAGTCTAAAGACTCCAGGCCAGTGTGTAAGCTACTTGACCAGCTGGCCATAGCTTCAAATCCCACCCGTTCCATGGTTTGTTTGTAGTCTTATTACATTTTTTTTTTTTAACACATCAGCCGTGTACCCCCAAAGTAGGGCAACCCGAAAAAAATACTTTCATCACTCACTCCATCACTGTCCTGCCAGAGGTGTAACAAAACTACAGTTTAAAAACTACAGCATATCTCCTGCAGGCGCTGTACTTCCCCAACTTCCACGACTTAAGAGTCCAGATAACCAGTTTCTCTGGATCCCTTCATAAATGTTACCTTGCTCACACTAACAGTGCATTCATAAAAAGCCACTTTTTTCCACTCACTCCTAAAATAAATAAATAAAACACACACACACACACACACACACACACACACACACACACACACACACACACACACACACACACACACACACACACACACACACAAAGCCTGCTGGATGCTTAAGCCTCTAAAACTCAAAGCCTCCTTTGTTCTTTCCTACCAACACTTCCTGAAATTACTCGCCTACTTGTCAGTTATTGTTTACCATTTTTTTTTAACACACCGACTGTCTTCCACTAAGGTGACTTGAAAAAGAAGAAACGAGACCTGACTCTTCTCACATTTAGTAATTTATACAGGAGAAGGTTACTAGCCTCCTCGTTCCTGACATTTTAGTCGCCTATTAAGACAATCATGGCTTAAAGAGGAAGCATTCTTCTCCACTTCCCCATTGAGAAGTACCATTAATATAGATTTATTAATTCGGTGACGTAATATTGAATTTACAAGTTTCAGATGAGAAAGAAAAATAAACAAGGATCGACTACATTATTTTCTTTAGAAAAGAGATTTCTATTTTCTTTAGAAAAGAAATTTCTATTTTCTTTAGAATAGACATTTCTATTTTCTTTATTAAAGACATTTCTATTTTCTTTAGAAGAGAGATTTTTAACTGAACAAAGACCAAAACAGATTTAATTGACCTGCTGTTAAAAGTACAATAAAGCCCTACATTTTTGATGCCTTCCACAAATGCTCGTGTCGCCAACTGTCCGGGACCATCGACAGTCTTTCCATCGTCATCTGGACCCCAAGAAGCAGAGTAGATATCTATGTGTTGTGGGTTAAGCGCTAAAGACCGGGCCTCGACAGCATCGGTAACATCTCCGTCCAACATTCTCACTCCTGTTTAACAAAGATTAAATTAGCCGATAAAAATAAAAATGCTGATAAAGAAATTAATAGAAAAATTAAGTGGGGTGCTTTACAGCACCCCACTCAACAGAACCCCACTCAACAGAACCCCACTCAACAGAACCCCAATCAACAGAACCCCACTCAACAGAACCCCACTTTTACAAAATTTTGCTTTATGGTGTTAGGATAATACAGTGGTTTTCAATTATATCCATTCTTCATTCATTCAGACTTCCTACAATATATTCACCACTCACTATAAGCTAAGGATTAAAATATTTTAAGGTAAACAATGAATGTGCTGTATATGCATTTTTTAGGCCTAGCTATATTGTTCACTTAATATATATGACAAGTGTTAACATGTTATCTGGCTTTTATATACATTTGAAAGTGAAAAAAGTTTGTTTCACTTTACAGCAGTAGTCCAGAACCTAACCTGCTGTATTAATGGCTCTACAACAGAGGGGAACTACTCACCTCCAACGGATGCCTCAAACGCAACACCAACAGCACAGATGGAGTTGTTAGCATCTGCAGCCACCTCTCCGGCACATCTCGTTCCGTGGCGGTTTGAGTCAACCAGGTCATAACGAGGCATGGGGTCTGGGTCATGACTGTTGACATCATAAGATGCATTGGGATCCTGCAATGTTAATTTCATTGTTAGGTGTGTATACGTTAGTTTGCTTGCATTTCATATAACCAATATGATAGCTTGTCTGGGCAATAATTCGTGATGTCAAGTGACAGCACTATGGAGGCTGTGACTGCCCTCTCTTCTAGAATTTGTAAGTGGTATTGTATCATCTCCATCACCTCGCCGCCCCCCCAATGTCCTTACAATCCATTCCTTGCCATGTCAAAAATACTATTTTTCACACTCCTGCCAACTTACATAGTTCTTGATGAGATCCGGATGATCTTTCTCAAGGCCATCATCCAGAATGGTCACCACCACACCCTTGCCCGTCACACCTTCCGCCCACGCCGCCTGCACATTCATATCCAGAGATCCGCCGCGATTCTACAACGTAGAATTCAAATTTTATTTTTCTTATGCAATACACCGATACTCAACCTGTGTCTAGTCCTTAAGTGTTCAGAGTAGTCTACTCAAAATACAGCACATACTACTTGCTTCTTTTATGCTTAACTATTTTATTACATATAAACTACATTTTGTATACTGCAGGAAAGAAATAAAGTCGTAAAGTACCAAAGAAGGCCATTAGTATGGAATGTAATTTGGGCAAACTAATCCTAATGCTTAAAGACTATTGTGTACTTAAAACCTAGACATAGGTTATTAAACAAGATTTCTTAAGTATCAACTATAATCATTTGCACAATAAGAAAGGTAGCTAAATGACTTTTTTGGGTTATCCCAGGTTCTCTACACATATGCTGCTATGTATGATAATTCTATGTAACTTTATTTGTGTATACCTGAATAAACTAACTTACTTACAATTTTAAAAGTGACTTATTATTTCAAACTGATTCAACGATCTTCAGTTTAGTAAGATAAAGCAGCGTTCTTAGAGCTAATGTTAAACATCGGTAACTAAAAATATCTTGCTGGAAGAGGAAATGTGTAAATTATATTCTGTGGCAATATTTCTCTAGGCTTACACATGCAGGATGTCCTATATGCTGCATAAGCTATTAAATCAAGTGGTGAGTATGACTTATGATAGAGGGAAACACATAAAAGTCAGACAAACAATCCAGGGTACGAGTGGGGTTATAACTTGTGGCAAACAAGTCGTCAAATTCCAGGCCAGTGCGCAAGCCACTGGGCCAACTGGCTACAAAAAATTCATCCAACTAGGTGTACATGCAGTGGAACCTCGGTGTCTGAACTTAATTGGCTCCTAGGTGGTGTTTGAACTGCAAAGAATTTGATGTGAGAAACAGTATTTGCCAGGGTTTAATTATCAGCCTCACACATTAGAGGATGTTAAACTGACTCTTCCAAAAGTCTCAGTTATGTCAGTGTCAGAGGTCACTTCAAAGCAGTTTTGAAATGGCTTTCCTGTAAAGTTTTTTTAGGACTGAATTTTAAACAAGTTGGTGCATTTGGACTCCAGAAAAACGTTTAAAGACTGGAGCAATTTGTTCTGAACAAAACTGTCTGGACTCCTGTTTGTTTGACATCTTGTACATTCAAACACAGAGGTTCCACTGTACTAGGTGTACACTACAGGTGCACATCCCTTTATCTGAAACCCTTGGGGGCTTGTATTGTTTCGAATTTCAGACTTGCTTTAATTTTAGAATGATTCTCAATGCCGCCATGTGGCGGCGTGACCCAGCACAGAGATGACCAACACTCCACGAAAAAATTTCGATTTTCGGAACTTTTCAAATTTCAGAATTTCGGATAAAGGGATGTGGGCCTGTAGCTGGATGCATCTTATTGTAGCCAGCTGGCCCAGTGGCTTACACACTGGCCTGGAGTTTTACGACTCGCTTGCCATGGGTTCTAACCCCCACCTATACCGGTTTGTTTATAATTGTGTTAGTATGATTTTACGAGTCATGAAATAACCAAACACTAGGAAGGAATTAAATCATTGTCAACACTGATGACAATTTAATGAAGTAAATGTGAGAAAAGGCAATGATATTGGTCATGGATGGACCAAGACAAGTCAACTGTAACTTAATAATGTTTTAGGAAGCAAGACAAGTGCAACTAATGTGATGTTTCATAGTGACACTTTTTACTCTCCAGGAGCTTTGTGAAGCCAGTAACAACTTGACGGTTCCTGGAGGGCAAAACATTGCCACAATAAAATGTTACATTAGTCACACATGTCCTTAACACCTAACACTGTCAGTAATTCTACCAACATTATTACAACTCGACAATGGTCCAGAAGGGACCAAAACGTCATCACGAGGTTCGTCCCCAAAGCACAAGTTTCCAAGAATTATTCCAGCCTCAGTACTGTTACCTTCTATTCATCGTGAATGTAATAGTAACATACAGTCATAAATACTTACCAGGTACCACATCTGCGGCCACTTGGGGTCGTTCATCCAGGTGGATCTATACGTGGGTGTGGTTATAAAATCCCTTTTAACACGCCTCTTAACTACTTGTTGCTCTGCCCACCTCACCTGCAATACCAACACTAGTCACACATAAAAACATAAGAAATAGCACTGCTGCATATAGACAGACTGGTTATAAATGACCATAATTTTTAAAGGGGTGGACCGGTAAGCCAGCGGAAGGCCTCTGTCAGATGACCAAAAGCTCCAAAGGCGGGTCATCATCTGACTAAGACCCGCGTCAGGAAACATTTGTCCTGTTTCCTGACGAACCTTACCTAACCTAACCTAGGACTGCTGCAGCCTACTGACCCATGCTAGGCTGGTCAAAGTCACATCCACTTAAGGAAGGAGCACAGCTGCATGCCTACCTAGGGTATCATATAAATGGCATACAACAACAATTATATACCATCTGCAATACTAGGAATTGTTATTGACGAAATGTTTTGTCTGAGTAAAAGGCTTCATCAGCTGAATTCAATGACTTAGACTTCCAGAGAATTCATCATAGTTAAATACAGTTCATCAGTAAACATTGTGTTGCACAAGCATCTTACCACCACCTACTGACTTGACTTAAGAAATCGTAATGACACGATTGCAAATAAACCATACCCCCGGCCGGGATTGAACCCGCGGTATACAACACCTGGAATCACATTTACAATTATTACCTGATGGATGCAAATTCCAGGGATACAAATTAGACAGATTTAGAAAGTATGTAGGAGAGTAGTGCCTTGACAACAGTGATCATTAAGTGGAACAATCTGTCAAGTGGATTTAATGATATAAACTTAAGTTTTATAATAGGTTGGACAAATTCACGAACGAAAAGGATCACATTTGAATAGGATCTGAGAACACAGGTTAGTAGCTGTGAATGGTCTGGTGATGCCAACAAACTGGAAAAAGTACACTCGTGTCCAGTTCAGGATACCTTTGATATACCTTTGAAAAGCTCCAAGTCTTTCTACTCCTGGAGCCTGGCCTTGTCTGATGGACAATTGGTCAACCAGGCGGTTTTTGGTGGTGGTTCACTGACCCATATATCCATCACAGCCTGGTTGATCTGGCACCTGGTGAAGATACTTGTCCACTTTCCTCTTGAAGGCTTCTACACTTGTTCCAGCAGTGTTTCTGATATCTTCTGGCAAGATATTGAATAATGTGGGGCCACAGATATTGATACAGTGTTCTCTTATTATGCTCACCGCACCCCTACTTTTCACTGGGTTTATTTTACACTTCCTCCCATGTCTCTCGAAACACTTCATTAGTGGTTTCTTCAGGAGGGGCCCATAGCTAGCACATTGGCTTGCGAGTTTTAAGATTCCCTCGTCATGCATTCAACCCACCCACTGAATCTGTTATTGTGTGTTATTTAGTCTCTGTACTGCAACAGAATTAAGGGGTTAGGATTAAAATAATCTGATAACTTAGGACAATTTTAGATTACCATAGTTTTCAGATAGTATTTAAAATTGGGGAAGTATTCCCTGATAAACTGTTCTTTTCCATATGGGTCAGAGTTGTGTAGATTTAAACTTTGCGAAACTTTACGATTGGAAAAATATTAGTGACGGGAGTTTGATTTGTGAAGGACTTGCCAGGTATGACCCACAGACCTGCTGGGTCATACCTGGCAAGTCCTAGTGTATATACAGAGAATTCTGTTATAATGGTGCCCAACAGAGGTTACTGGTAGATGGTCTCTGTTTAATATACCCGTCTGTTTAAATATTAGGGGCACAGACAGGATGGAAGGAGGGAGAACAGGAGGAAGAGCAAGAGGGGAAGGGAGGAGGAGAAAGAGGGCGCA